ATAATAATAATAATAATAATAATAATAATAATAATAATAATAATAATAATAATAATAATAATACAGCTTTTCTCCTCTTCCTTTTCTCTTCCCGTTCCAATCTCCTTTCTCTGAGCATCCCAGCTAATACTAATGCAGAATAACTGCATCCCAAAGCACATAATGCATAAACGTGACGCGGGTTGCCTAATAAAAAATGTCAAACGACATTGGTTCGCGGTTCTGTAAAACGTCTATAATAAAGGACATTAAGAAACCGTTGCCTGGTATGATTAGATAAACTATAGAAGAAATGAGAATCTCAAGAGTTATATCTACGTTCATAAAATATCTCTTTCATTATCTGGAAAAAGCGACTGAAATTCTATGGTTGTTTTCTAAGAATAACTACTGAATGACTAAACTCAAAGGATTCTATCATTTGAAGGGAAAACGTTATATCTAAATTCACAGCTCTCATTGACAAATACAAATTCCTTGACACGTTATATAGAGCATGGACAGAAGAGCATAGGAAAACCTCAGAGAGAGGGTGAAGAAATCCTAGAAAGAAAATAAAGACAAAGCCTTTGCTAAATTTGATATTTCTGCTAGATTTCAATTCAAGTAGAACATGACGAAGGAAAAAATAAATAAAAACGAACAATAATTATTAATAATAAATTTGCAAAGAACGTATAGTTTTGTATTCGTCAATCCCCACAACGTGATAAAAAAGATAAGAGATATACAAGGTCATCGAATCAAGACAAATTCTCTAGTGTTAAGCAACAGGGGTATTACTTACTGTTTATAAAAAACAAATTCGCACTTTTTCGCTCAACTAGCAATGGCATTTAATATATTTCATGGAATTTCTTATACGGTACTGGCTTTGCTACTCGTACAATTATCCTTGACAATAATTAATTTAGCCTGGTTTTATTAATAAAAAAATAAGCAGCACAATTGACGTTTAACACCTTTGACTCGGTCTTCCAAATACCGAGAGTTTCCTAACACTGTAAAAGAACATTGGGAACAAAATACTCCGAGTGTCCTCTCCGCAACCGGTGTCATAGCGAAAACTCTCACCAGATTGCTTGATGAACTAGGTACGGAGAAGGGTATCGTCGTTGGTCTCCAGAAGCCTAGGTTCCTAGAAGCTCTTTAGGAATACCTTTAGGAAGAAATACAATGAAAAGTACAATCATTGTGATTGATTAAAAAAATCACAATCCTTGATATTGAAATGTAAAAATAAATGAAATTACAAAATGTTTTAATGTAAAAACACAACAAATAATTTCAAGATCTCCATATCAATCACGTAAGGAATAAGAAAAAATTAGTGAAACTTGCTATGGTGTCTCGGACTATAAAAACAACGATGCAGCAGGCAAAATTTAACTTCACTTAGAAATGTACGTTAATATGTTAATATTTTTTGTTGGTAATGCATATAATATAATGTATATAATATGTAATATATTTTTCTTTGAAATTTTCGAAGTAGGTATTAAAAAGAATAGATTTTCTGTTATACTATTGAAACTAAAATGTGATTAACTGGAATCTTCATTTAACAATGAGTAGCAACGAAGAGTGAGTGCTGGGAGAAAGGAGAATAAGGGACAAGAAAGGGGGGTGCGAGATTAACGTGAAGGATAAAGAAAGGACAATATACAGCTTGTGTAGAGGAATATTTTCAATATGGCGGACTCAAAGACGTAGTAGGCTCATCCGCCCATTGCTAGTCAATGGTTGAGAGATCTCGCATACGCAACCAGTTGGGTCCTTGGGAAGCAGTGACGATTAACTATCATAATGAGCCTATAAAGAACTAATGAAAGATTGTTAACATGGCGAACTAAAAGACACGATGGACTCATCAACCATCTGGTCGAAAGATGAAAGATACTACATACGCAACTAGAAGAGTCCTTGGCTACCATTCTGCACAGACGACTGACTATCATAATGAGCTCAGAAAGGTCGTGAACAATTCAGGTTGGAACGCCCGGTCGGGCGCAACGAATGCTTTAGCTTGCAAATTCGCTTGCAAATACGAATTCGCGGAAACGGTAGAGGAAGCTTAACTACAGATCCTCATCTTGATCCTCATCCCGATCAGGATTTTCCAGATCCATTCACAGAATGCGGAGATGGCCCCGGTTTGCTTCTGGGCATAAATGTGTCTTCTCTAGGCGCACGTTTTATTGAGCTGTCATTTTGAAAGTAATGGTAGTAGTATAGCGGGGGTATGGGTTACTATATTGTTAGCAATACAAAAAATCAAATCTGCAGTTCGTTTACCGATGCAAATGAGTTTTCTATAACTCGGGAGCAAAAATGCCTGGTTTTCAAATGTTGCTAACCTCTTTTTTTTAATCTTTTATTCATCATTCATCTATTTTCAGTTAAAATGTTAGGAAGAAATTCTGGAGCTCAAGAAAACGTGTCTACATGGTACATCTCCCCAATACGTCACATACAGTTTTTACTGTTCTTTTATTAAATAAATTAAATCAATGTCTTTCTATATTGTGAAGAGCGGACAGCCACTCGACAGAGCGTTGCTAGACCGGAGGCAAAAACTAACATCAATTTGATCATTATGCCGTTGTTATATTTTGTTTGCTATTTTCAAGTAGATGCTTTTTATTTCTTTCAACAGCCATCTAACATGAGTGTAATTTCGTGCAAAACGGCCTGATACTGTCGAGATACTATTTGAATTGAATTGAATTGAATATGCCTTATTTTACGTGGCGAGACTCGGGCCATCAGGCCCGCTCTTCCGTCTGACCACGCAAATTTCGCTACGCTCCTTTCATATAGCAGAGAAAGAAGGTATTTCTTGGGCGAGAAACAGGCGATTTGAATTTAGCTCAGAGGCGTCATTTAGGCTTGAGGATCTTTTACATGCAAGTAAATCTACGAACATGGGACAGCCGGCTTTACTTCCCCTCCGAAGGAAGGCGTATGAAGGATTTTTTCCACGGCTTCGATCGGGTTTGAACCCGCCAACTTGGGTACAACAGTCCAGTACGCTAACCGTTACACCACCGCCGCCGCAAATTCGCCACTATTCACCAATTAATTTCGCTCATGTTCATATTTTAAATACGTTTTTTTATTTTCTTCCATATTTAAAAACTTTTATGGTACAGAGAAAAAAGAATCAGAGGAGATCACAAAATAATGAAATCTGATCTATTTTTATATCTGTTGAAAAATGTGTAGTAAACTGCTCTGTCTCAGAATATGACTTTTATACTCTTTGATCTCACAATCCTGGGTATTTACTTAGTCGGTTCTATAAAATAAAGTTCATTTAGTTCTGTTATAGTTGAGCTGGGGGGGGGGTTGAAACGAATTTCATGGGGGTTATGAAGATTGCACAAACAGGAGTGTTAGATGACACTTCAACAAAAAAGTAAAAGAAAGTGAAGTAACACTTTTATCATGGATTTCCGGAGGCCAACAAGAAGTACCAATATTTATTTGTACGCCGCATTCTAAAGTACCTAATTCGTGGCTGTGAACAGTGATGCAACAAGATCGAAACTTTCAGTCATGGCAATAACACCACCAACACCAAAGCAGTTTTAACATTTGCAACAAAAAATTAACCCCTTCCAAAAAAATTAAGAAGGGGGATTGATGTGTCGTAACATACTGAACACAAACACAATCAATCACATAAAACCAAGTAAACTGATTATACTGTCTGCCATCTTCCATTGATCTATAAAGCAAATGTTTCAATAACTTGCATTATCGCACGATGGTAATTACGGTAGTTTCTGCTCTCTCTCACACTACATGCATTTTTCACTGTTGTCAACGAAAATCCGACGCAATTAAAGTGAATGACAATGGAATACGACAAGTGCCCGCCTCGTCTCGCGTCGGTGTTGCAGAGCTTCTGAAACACGCAGGCACCGTTACTCTCGCCCCCACACCTCCGTCCCGCCTCGCCTCGCCCCGCCCCGTCCGTCCCCGCTCCCGCCCGCTGGCGCAGCTTCGAGGCTCCGCGGGTGGGTGATCTCGCAACACTCACCGCTTCTTGGCCGCAGGCCAGCCTGCCCATCGGCTCCGCAGCCTTCTCGGAAGAGCGCCTCCAAGCCTGACACTCGTTGGGCCGGCCCGTACTATGTCGAAATCGCACGATTCGTGTTGTAGACGTGTGTCTATGTCATCCCATGGAACACGAGACAAATTGCGCAACCGTTCTCGAAATGTGGACGTGACATAAACTGAAACCAATCGGTCTCTGAGCAGATGGCACATCATATACGCCTACGTTCCTCTTAGGCAGAGTATTTCATTATTATAATATTCTTTTCAATTACGACTATGTTTTCATATGTCCTCTACACAGAAGACATTTCGTTTCGACAATATTTTCGTAGTTCACAAATTTTTGTAATATTAATGGACTACAAATCTCTACCATGATAAAAATAATCATGAAAAAAATCGCTCTATAGCGAAACGTCTGCGATCAAAAAGGCACGCAATTTCAAGTCATGTAGACGTGGAGACTACATATAGGACAACCACAACAGTTTTGGAGATGCGTTTGCGATTGTCCTCAGAGAACCGATGTATTTGGTTTTAGCATGTGGGGAAGGTTAAAGGTGGCAGCTGAGAATCCAGTAGAGAGATTTATCAACGGCCACGCCAGAACAGGGGGCCAGGGGAGATACGTATGCAAATGGATTTAAAACGCTTTTGATGTCAAGGGCGTGAATGGAATCACGAGAAGAGAAACCACGATTCCGAGAGAGTGAAATGAACGTTCTTCATGTGTGTGTGTGTGTGTGTGTGTGTGTGTGTGTGTGCGATGTAACGCGTTTATAGCCTGGAATTGCTCCCGAGACAACGCG